TGACAATGGGCGGAACTGGTCTGCAATTTAAATAACCCAATACATCTTATATCTCATCCAAACCTAAGTTTCTGGTGTAGACGTAGTGCTCAATCGCCGAGAACGCTCCCACTTCAAGCATTGTTGAGCTTAAATAGACGTTGATTTAATTACGAGACATGTAGTTGAGGTGAATTTACACATAACTGAATTCTTATTACCGCACCTTATTCCTATTAATGTTAGTTGGGTGTCAAATTCGATTGGGGAGGAACAATCATGGGGAGGAGTGTACACTGCAAGTCATATTGATCAGTAACAACATGTCCACTCGCGATTGGCATCGCGCCTTAGTTGCGCCCCACCACTCTCGTCACTGCAATCGCGAAGACTGACGCGTACACTACAGGAAATTAGTGTTTCAATCAAAATTTACAAAAATCTTACTTCAAAAGGGAATGGGTTGTAACAGCGCGTTGCTTCGAGAATGCCATGTACAGCAGCTCTTCCTAGTAGATAAAGTGATCCATGGCAGTAGCTAGGATAGGTATTCCGTCGCCACACATCACGCGATATGTACCTAAAGAAAAGGTGAGGTAAAAAAGAAGTACTTCCTGTAAGATCTGATTTACCATTTATCAGTAGATTCCCGAAAGGGACCACAAACAGGGCACAGCCGGCAATATATGTTATCTTCGTGATGATATGCCTGATATAAGTGCGAGAGCATGCGATCAAGATGGATAGTAACATCGTCGTCAACCTTCATTAGAAAGCTTGCTTTGCTGCAGTGCTTTGAAAAGAAATTCATCATGGCATTGACCTTAATGTAGGGACCTAGCCGCATTGCACAAAAAGCTTGCAAATGCAAAAGCCCACTCCACTTTCAAAATCAGTGTTTCGTACGAGTCCTTTATATCAGTCACGATCACATCGTGGAACGTTTCTTCTTCAGCTATCAGTCTTGCCATTTCAACTTCTGACTTCGGAGCACCGACAATAAAGAAAACTGTGACACTTCCATCCTGAAAGGTAAAAAAGAGAGGTATTATGTGCAGTCAAAATGTCCACTTTTTTCGAACCCTTGTCATTGCCGAAACGCGTTTTGGTGTTCTTGTCAATACATTGTGTGAGACCCCAACGGTCCTCCATACTACGAGAAGGTACTACCTGTACTAATACTTAGCGAACACTGAAACCGACTTTTTTCCCCATCCGCCGACCCTCCGGAGCCCTGGCTCTCTTCCAGCAACTCAGCGAGCGGAGCCTGTCAGAAGATATGTAGCTTTGAAGGTGCAGGCATGAATAGAAGGGCATGACGAGGTTGGATTTTTTGGAATATCAGGAGCACAGCTGCAGCCTTGGTGGGCAGGCAAGTTGAGGCTCCACCAGCTTCTTGAAGTTGCCTTGTTTAGTAGAAAACGCTCTCCACTGAACAAGCAGTGCTCAAAGACTACCACAGTTGCAACCCTCAAAACTATTGCGAACATTCAACAGGGGATGAGTTCGGAAAGAGTGAATGCTTCCCGGAACCCGAAATTTGATCTGGTGGGCCTAATAGCCAAAAAATCTCATGAAAGGGGTTAAGAAGCTGGCACCACTCCAAACCATCTCCCAACTTTGATTCAAAAAAATCTGCGTTTCGTTTTTTTTTTCAAATCTATTCACAATGTTGACACGGTTTCCCTAAAGTACTGCATGTAAAAACCCAGAAGGAACCATTTGTACTAGAGATGTCCATGACAAATCTGGTGAGACAACTGTATTAGTGTACATTTTCCTTGTGATTCACTTCAATGTCTTCCAATACAATATTCTGCTACTGCCCGTCTTCCGAAGGACACAACAACTGGCGATCAGGACAACGACTTCAAGGACCACGCCGCCATTCGCAAAAAGACACTCACTTCAAGGACCTGCTGCAGATGATGGCCGCTCAACAGAAGCTCCTCGTCGACCTGCTCCAGAAGATGGCCACGCCCACAGTCGCCCCGCAGGAGACCGTATTCGATAGGATCACAAAGAGAATGCATGCTTTCGGACGAGCTTCGCACCAGACGAGGACATCGACAACTTCGTCAATTTGCTGAAGGCTGCGCTCTGGAAGGCCAACTTCAAGGACATCAGACAGGAAACGCTAGAATGTCCTGGCTCTGATGTTCACTTTCCAGGCTCGGACATAGCAGACTGCGGGTTCGCTTTCTCCGCAAGTAGACGAAGAACAGCAGATCACTGGTACCACGCCTGGAAATCGGTCAAGGATGACTCCATAATTGTCGAAGCCTCGAACTAACCGGAAATTCCGCATAATCCAGCGAAAGAAGAAGCATCGCCTTTCTCTCGCAATCAAGTGCCAATTGCACCGTCGTCGCGTTTGATGTGCCTGCAGGAAAAGTGGAAAAGGACTGCGCACAAAACGGCAACGCTACACTACGCCAGGAGTCAATGACTGCACCACGACGTCACCCCAAGCAGTCACCACCGCGCAAATGTTACCAATAAGCCATGGGCCGCTATGGTAGATGTCCGAAAAGTACCTGGAAGTTTACAATAGAAATAGACATGCCACTCGCCTTCAGTTGAACACCCGCGCCGAATTCACCATCATTTTTCGCCCAACAGATGTAACACGGAAATCAGCGTCTGCAGTCCTCCTGCCAATTCACGGAAGATTTGATGCTGCTTTTTTTGTCGTGGATAACTGAAGAAAGGTTCAACCTAGATAAAGCGTTTGTTACGTCTCCAACGACAACGACTTCTCGGCATTACATGGATCGAGCAAACTTCAGGACTTTCAATCCAGTTCCGTGAGATTCAACGTCCAGAATGCATGGAGGCTCAGCTACGACGCAATTTGAGACCATGCAATCGTCAAGCTGAAACACTGCTTCACGAATGTCTTCTCAGCCGGAATTCGACGCAAAACTAACGCTAAGACAACGCTCTACCTCTAAGCCCGATGCTCGTCCCGGTTCTTCATCAAGAAGAGACCGGCTTTCTACGCTTCTGTCCCACTTCTCGACGTCGAGATCGACCGTATCGTGGCACAGAACGTCTCGCAATGGACAGCCAATAATCGCAGTGAGAAAAACCAATGAATCAATCCAGCCTTGCGCCGACTTCTCGACGGGACTCAACGACGCATTGCTCTTGCACCGGCACCCACTTGCCCACCGCAGAGGACGTCTTCACTAAACTCAATGGCGGAACCGTCTTCTCCCACATCGACTTCGCCTACGCGTACGTACAGGTCGAAGTCAATCGAAAGGTGTTTCAATTCCGCAACGACGGCTCACAATCAACACGCATCGAGGACTCTACCGCTACAATCGCTTGCCGTTTGGAGTCAAATCAGCACTTGCCATCTTTCAGCAGATTATCGACTCCATGATCTCTGGACTCGACGACGTCATCGTCACGGGCACACACTCTTCGAGCACAACGCCAGTCTGAAGAATGTTTTTTTAGGGATATTCGCCTACGGCTTCCGACCAGTTGATGTGATGACCCAGTTGACTCACCTCGGCAATATCATCTCCCGTGCCGTAAGCTGGCCCAATCCCAAGGAGATAGACGCCATCACTCAGATGCCAAAACCGAAGGATACCGCCCAGGTCCGGTCATTCCTCGGTCTCATCAACTACTACGGAGCGTTCGTTCCAGAGATGCGCCAGCTCCGTGCACCGCTCGACGCACTACTCAAGAAGGATGCTCCGTTCAACTGGAATTCCCGAATGCGACGCCGCTTTCGAACGCGCCAAGGAAGTGCTCGCTTCGGACCTGCTCCTAACTCACTACAACCCAAATCTGCCCAATCGTCATCGCGGCCGACGCTTCAGACTATGAAATAGGAGCAGTAATCTCTCATCGTAACCATGGATAGGAACTGAGAATGCTATGTACCGTGCCACTCACTCTCTAAGTGCCACGGAGAAGAATGAAGAATTACGGTCAACTAGAGAAGGAGATGCTCGCACTCATCTACGCCGTCCGCGAGTTCCATTGCCACAACTACCGACGCACTTCAGACGCAAGGGCTCATTGGTAATCGAGCGGAAGTGGGCCGGGGCGCGCGCTGCGCCCAGCGAGCCACCGTCGCATTGCGGCATCCACAGTAACTGGTCGAAAAAATCATCGTTCACCGTTGCCAGTTATGCCCACCTGCGCAACGACCTCTCAACCAAGCAAAGATGCCTACTCTTCAGAGAAGTGGCCAGTGAGCTTTCGGACCATCTTTTTTCGCTTTCCTTTCAATGTTGCTGCATCATTTCACCGCTCTCCAGTTCATATTTTTCAAGATAGAAACATTAAATTAGGCACGACGCCGATTTCAAGCGGAAATACTGTTTGGGACAGCCCTCATAACTCTTCTCTAATCATTTATAGAAACCTTTTTGTGGATGTTCAAAATTTGTAGAATATCTGGAGACGTAGGAGCTTTTCAATTATCCATGAGCAGTGCTAATGACTGTCCGAAATGCTTTGGAAAGACTCGAACCGTGCCAAGCACCATGAAATGCATAAACTTTACCTTTTCTTCAAAAGGCGAGTACGAAACATTCCATAAATTTAGCTACTGGGTGTGTTTGTAACAAACATTCAATTTCACAGGCAGGTTGGTTGTTTCTGATAATGTAGTATTCATTTTCACAGGGTGACCTTATATTATGAAACGGTGCAAAAACCGAAAAATAATTATAAAAAAGTTAAAAGAAAAGCTGCTCCCGCCAAAATTGCGATCCAGGGGTTTTTCATAGTGAGGAATCAGCTGGTAATACTAGAAAAATTACCAGTCTGCTGCTTGTCCCAAAATGCAAAATTTTAGGGTGACCTTATAATTATGAAACGCACTGTAGTTCAAGGATTTTTGCCGAAACAACGGGATCGAGTATGTTAGCTCACCGCAGTTTCATCCCCAATCCAGTAGACAAAATTTGTCAACGCTTTCAAGAACTCCCTCGAAAGGTAGAAGAACAATGGACCGCCATCGACGTTCTCTAAACTTTCCTCTTCACCTACAGGAACACGCCGTGCACCGCATCGCCCGATGGACGATCCCCCGCAGAAAACTTCATCGGTCGACGCCTGCTTTGCACGCTGGACATGCTGAAGCCTAGCAAGATGCCAAAAGCTAGGCCAGACAACGCCACGGAAAAGCAGTACCGAAGAAATGGGGCCAAGCCGGGAAGTTTTAGGCCAACCTCGGTTTTGCTTGCGACTTCCGCTGCGGACAACAACGATGGTCTCCTAGGATGCGTTCAATTGCGACAGGGCTGTACGCTCTACGACGTCCTAGTGCAAGGAATCCATCTGGAAGCGCCAGGCCAATCAGCTACGCTTATGTGCTTCGCTGGAAGAAACGCATGAACCTTAATGGACGCCTTTGATATGCCGTTCAACTCCACACCAGTATCGCGTTCAAGGACGCTGACACTACCGTTTCTTTCCGATGGTTATGACTGCACCGTCTATAACAACCACGACGACGACGACGACATGACAGCTACACCTCTAGAGCCTCCGAACGCTGCACATAGACCACGATTGAGCTGCACTCGCCGTTTTCCAGATCGTCTTCAAATTGGCCAGTTCGCCAGTCGACCAGAGTGGGGACCATCTTAGTGGGGAAGGTGTTAGGGACACCATGTGATCTCATATCTTTTTGTAGGTGATTTGTAGATTTTGACCAGAGATCTGGCGGGTCGGTACGGTAGATAAGTGTAAATTTTCACTTTAATTCACTTCAACTACCTTTGATAAATGTTCTGATACTGCCCTTCTCCGCAAGGACACAACAGGGGTAGTAGGTATTAGCAGCGTAGTGATCTTCACTGGATGGGCGTATCTTGCATTGAGAGCAAACTTCGAAAGTAAACATCGAGAAGAAAACTACTCGCCGCATCTTATTAAAGACCTAAACTATGGCACTACCACTACTCGCAGGCATGTAGCGCTTGCAGATGTGCAGATTGTTGTGGGTCACTCAGGACAACTTCCTGTGAATGAAATGGAAAGATGTAGCTGAAAAGTATATTTGGTCGTTATGTGTGAACCACGCCGTCTATATTTACGTATGTTTATAGAGCAATCACAAGAAACTTGGGAGAAGTTGCCTTCAATAAGAAATGAGAGATATGGGTGAGGCATGGGTAATTAAGGCGAAGTCCCACATGACTTGCAGAGGGCGGTATACATAGCTGCCACACCGCCTTCAGCAGCATGTAAAAATTGAGATGTCCTTGAAGTACCTCGGGATAGATGCAGCGGCATGAATCATGTCCAATAAGTCAACCTGCACACGAAACATTCATAAACTAGACAAATGCCTTACTCCCAATATCCAATATTGGGTGGATGTGATACGCCCGCTTTTTGTTGGAATGCGTTTTATTATAAAGTGAAACTTTTTGCGGAGTAGTGTGAATAATTCACCCGAATTCAGTGCTGCAACTAAATACATTCACAGTCATGTAGCAGAACAGAAATGTTCTGCGGAATAAGTGAAAACTGTAATTATACATACAAAAATTCTCGCAAGGAGTGGTATTCAGTTCTGTGCAAACATTTTGCGATTGAACTCATTTCCTCATATCTGCTTAGAGGGTTCACAAAGTTCTAGAGAGACTATCGAGAAATCGGGCGAAACTTGATATCGATGAATACCTTTTTGATGTATCAATAGATCAACAGCGTCAAGCGAGGCCTTTAAGCAGAGTAATAGTTTGGATTAGATATAAATTTCGTAAGCAAACATGTACCATTATTGCCTCAGATCTCGCAGATGAAGCCCAAGAATTTCGAATCACATGCCTTGTTGTAATGCTCCGTGGTGTTGAGAGTATCACTGCGACAACCACGCTTTTCCTAAATTTAATAGGCATCTGTAAACGATTTAATTCTACCTCTGATAAGGTAATGGAATCTTTGTGTGAATAACAAAGCGCGAGCAGCTGAGCCAGTAGACCTAATTGAACCCTTTCAATACTGGTGTTGAACATGTGGGGTGTGGGTACTTAGGACAGAACGCGACTTTTTCGCTCTTCGCAACGCGACATCGCGCGGCAGGCTGGCGCTCCCGCAGCGAAAACAACTACGGTATGGAAGAACGCGCGATTGGAGCAGCTTTTTTTGCATGCGTGAATTTGTAAGTTTTGTAGTTTGTATTGTGTAGTTGTAGTTGTAGTATTACGTAGTTTAATTTGTAAGTATCGGGGAACCATTTTTTAATAGTGTCGCTTGTGCTTGCATTTTGTGGGTTCATATTGTTGTATAGACTTCTGCATAAGGGTATAACATCTTAACTCTCATCAAACGTCCATCAACCATTTCTTCCAGGTTCTCCAGAAGCTCTACCATCCATCTCTGCAAAAATAACCTACCTCCCTCTTCACTGCTAGTTAGCGGTCCACTTCTGGTTACCATTTCCTCGTTCATTATCAAATCCATGGCTATTAAGCTTCAAACTCCTTGTCGCAATCAAAGCCGACACAAATATCGTGCTCCAATCGCGCGTTCTTCCATACCGTAGTTGTTTTCGCTGCGGGTGCGCCAGCCTGCCGCGCGATGTCGCGTTGCGAAGAGCGAAAAAGTCGCGTTCTGTCCTAAGTACCCACACCCGAACATGTGTACCACTTTCGTAGTCAAAGACACCACCACAGTTTTGGGTGTCATTGAGGTATGAGCGCTCGATCGATGGCGGGATTGTGCACAAATAGAAACTCTATGTAGAAATCTCACTATGACGACAACTCGTCACAAGTCAAAAAGAGTTACCCCGGAAAAGCAAATGAAACAATTCGCACCGCAGGTCACTCGTCAATGTGCGCAGCTCCTAAAAAGGTGATTTCCAATCACACATCCTTCAGTATTTGTCCCAATGTTTGTTTTGGTATTTCCCTAAACTATTGTATCACTTGCAATATAAACAAACGAACTATCACAATGGGGCATACTATCAGCTGAAACCAATCAGAGGATGAGGCGGTGTTCTACGACAGATTGGAGATTCCAATCTCTATGATTCTGGCAGTACGAATGGTGCGGAAGTGACATCAGGAGACTCCTGTGATGACACGGGTTTCCAAGAAGTAGGAGACGACGGAAACTCCATAGGGAGGACGGGAACCCAAAACGTTTCTTCAGATTGCGGCTCGCAATTCCTTCCATGTGTGCCCTTAACCGGACGTTGGCTTTGTTCCCCGAATGACCATGGAAATGACCTGTGGTTTGTATTTGTAAATGGTAATAAAAGTGCGAACTTATATTTCAAAAATACTCAGAGATAGTGTCGTGGGAAAAAGGGCCGCTCCCACGCACAAGCCCTGGATCAAATCCCAGGTCAAGACCAGTGTGTGTCCCCCAAATTTCTACAGATGATTAGTTGTTGCTAGGAGCGACAGCCAAAATGCAAAACACACAGATAACTTAGTTTTGAAAAAGTCGTAGTCTAAGGGTTAAAGTGAAAAAAGTTTCTCCGCCCTTTTTTGAGCTTTTCGAATCAAATAATTCCACAGAAAATGATACCAACTTACACTCCATTACATTTCGAAATATTTGGCAATAATAGATATCTATAATGTACGGTGCTGTTGCGGAATACTATTCGGTTCGATGTTAAGGCACCATCAGTGTCCAACATCTCCGTGTAGCAGCTAATTTTTAGTGAGAAATAGCAATCTAAAAAATATGTTGGGTGTTCTGTGGGACTTTTTCTGGACCTATTCTTGACCTAGAATCAGGCTTTAGTGAGTATGATACATGCCGAAAATTCCCGAGTTGGCGCAAACAACTCAGGGACTCGAGTTTGAAGGTTCACCTACCAAGTGAATCAAATTAAAATTAATTCAAAAAATTAAAATCAAAACTAAAATTGTTGGCACAATTTCTGCGAAAATTGGCTTGGGTTTGCAAACGCTGCGGTAGCGTCGCTTTCGCTAATCCAGAGCGCAATAGCGCTGGCCTGAGCTTCAAGGCTTTGCGATCTCCCGTTTACAGTTTCCCATGCATTGCTGTGCCAGTCACTTTTGTGCTCACTCTCTCGGCACCCCATATTTTTTCTTCGTGAACTCATAACCGTTCTAAAGAGTTTTTTCGTTCAAGAGTTCGGTGCATCCTTTCAAATCTTTTCCACCATGGCGGTCCACGTTCGACCTGTACAGGGTGGGGCAAAATTACTGGTGCACCTATACGTTTTGAATTTTTTAACACTTCTTGGAGATTTTCCTGTTTCACTCGCTTGTGATATGTTGCCTGGAGGTTGCGTAATTCCTACGTACTCGAATACAAAATGGTCCGTCGTTCTGACCTACGGAGCGCGATCATCAAACTTCACAACGACGGCAAGCAAACAAGAGAAATTGTGAAGATCCTTTCCGTACCTCGAAGGACGGTTCAGAATACAGTACGACGCTATAAAGAACTGAAGACCGAAGAGGACAGGGAAGGAAGAGGACGTCCCACAACAGCTACGAGTCGGAGAAATGTGAGGCTCGTCAGAGAAAGAATTCGAAGGAACGCCAGGAGATCGATGCGCCAGATGGCGAAAGACGTTGGAGTAAGCGCGAGGTCAATGAGGAGGATTGTCAGAAGTAAGCTAAGGAAGTTCCCCTATCGCTTGCAGAAATGCCAACTCCTGACGGACATTATGAAGAAAAGGAGATTGGAGAGATGCAAGAAGTTGCTGCAGCGATTCACGGTGGCACGCGCCCGAGACATCGTTTTCAGTGATGAAAAGATTTTTACTCTGAATCCAGCCTTCAACTCCCAAAATGAGAGGATTATTGCAGGATCACTTGCTGATGCTACCACCAAGGCAAGACTCCAGGAAAGAGCGAAACACCCCCAGTCCATTCTTGTTTGGGGAGGAGTCACCTCTACGGGGAAGACCCCACTTGTTTTCGTTGAAGCTGGTGTAAAAATCAACGCAGAGGTTTACAAAAATATCCTGGAGGAAGTTCTCAAGCCGTGGGCCAACTCCCATTTCGGAGAAGCCTACTGGTGCTTCCAGCAGGATTGCTCCAGCACACAAAGCAAAGATGGTCCAGGAGTGGTGCGCCGAGCACCTGCCCGACTTCATCAGACACGACGAATGGCCCTCCAGTTCTCCTGATCTAAACCCGATGGATTACTCTGTGTGGTCCATCTTGGAGAGCAAAGCGTGTTCTACCAGACATCCAAACTTGGACTCTCTTAAGGCGGCGCTTTCAAAATCTTGGGACGAAATCGATGACCAGTACCTGCGTGCCACATGCGAAGCATTTGTCGAACGTCTGAAGGACTGTGTGAAGGCTAAAGGAGATCATTTTGAGAAGCATTAACATTTTTTGTATTGTCATGTTTGTAGTAAATAATATTGATAATTAGAATTG